TTTGATGAATAAGACACATATGCAACACTTGGGTATCTGTTTCTAGCCTGTGCAACAGGGTTCTTCAGTCGGCCACCTACTAAGGCTGAGGGACTAAGAGATAAAATAAGATTTTCTTCGGATTTTTAGCCCCGGAGGGTTAGCCACTCAGGATAATGTAAGAAAGTCAGTGCGTCATCAAGGACTGTTTGTCTTATTTTCATTGTGGTCCTCAATCTTGTCCCCCAGGATGCGACCCACACCAGTCCACTAACACCCAGGTACCTACTTGCTGCTAGGTGAACATGACAACAGATGTAAGGAAGCACATTGAAATGTTTTCACCCCACCGGGAATCGAACCCGGGCCCTCCGTGTGTGAAGCGAGAGCTTTAGCCACTAGGCCATATATTTGACTGAAGAAACCTGTTTTCATCAAATTCGAGTTATCCCCTCCTTCCAGAGATTAAACCTGATTGCCTGTTATTTCCCAAGCGTTGTATAACTTGTGAATTTAGCGCATCCTCGTGACTATATTAAAACATAACTTAGAGGAAGACCTTACAGGAATTATAACTTTTGTAGGAGTAACAAGCCGCACATATGAGAGAACTGATGACGACCCCTGACGCTGGTCAGGGGTTCTTGGTCTAGGGAATTGGATCTGTGTTCCAGTTCCCTGAATTAAGCCCGAATACCCCTCAAGGAAGGTTCCTTGATGTTGGTGAGGGGCTCTTGATTTAGGGAATTGGATCTGTGCTCCAGTTCCCCGAATTAAGCCTGAATGCCTTCCACATCCCCCCCCTGGGCGCTGTATAATCCTCCGGGTTTAGCGCTTCCCCATTGATTATAATAATAATAAGCCCGAATACTTTCCATCCCCCCACAGGCGCTGTATAATCCTACTGGTTTAGCGCTTCCTCATGATTATAATAATTATAACGACATTGGGTGTGACTAATTAGTCGAAGTCTGACCGAAAAGCCGTCATAAGTTTCTTTCTCCTATTTACGGGTTATTTGTGTATTGTTTCAGTTCTTATGAAAGGCGAAAGATAAGAATTTTATCACTTACGCAGTTTAGGGCATAGGTACATGCTTGAACTATCAGTAGCGGTATATCCCTCAGTAGACATTACTGCCTCCTGCTCAACACTTGCAGTAATTGATACACTCGAACTCAGCATTGATGTTAAGAATATCCTTTCATTGTAGATGAATGGTTCAGAGAACCGACAAGTTGATAAATCAGACACATATGCAACGTTTCGCTAGACTGTGGCTTCATCAGTCCATACAAAGGAGAATGGTGAAGAACAGGAGTAGTTTGAGGTAATCAATCCCACAGCCTTGAGTCGAAGTTATCAGTCCATCAGTCTTGAGAAGATTGATGGTCTTAATATCTAATGCGACGCATTTAAGTGGGACTCTACCATGCAAGGCAGAAGTGTAACAATTTAAAATACACTTGGAAATAGCCCTCAAATAATATATATTAAGTTTTAGTATGGGCCAACAGGCCTGCTGCAGTGTTCCTCCTTTCTTAATAAGTTTGTCCCTGAATGTGACACTAGAGACGGAGGTCAACATATTTTATTTATTAAGATTAGCACCAGCACATTGTGCAGTTACCTTGATCTATGTGACATTTTCCAAGGTTAAAACAACAGCCAACTATGTTTACCAAACACTCATGAAAGATGGTTTTAACAGGATGAGTTTAAAAGAAAATAGTGAAATATTAAATCTGTCTGAGCTGCAGGACTTTAGTTAAATGATGAATGTCAAACATTCCACTGTAGTCTTGAAAGTTACACATTCCACTGTAGTCTTAAAAGTTACACATTCCACTGTAGTCTTGAAAGTTACACATTCCACGTAGTCTGAAGTACACATTCCACGTCTTGAAAGTTACACATTCCACTGTAGTCTTGGAAGTTACACATTCCACTGTAGTCTTGAAAGTTACACATTCCACTGTAGTCTTGAAAGTTACACATTCCACTGTAGTCTTGAAAGTTACACATTCCACTGTAGTCTTGGAAGTTACACATTCCACTGTAGTCTTGGAAGTTACACATTCCACTGTAGTCTTGAAAGTTACACATTCCACTGTAGTCTTGAAGTTACACATTCACTGTAGTCTTGAAAGTTACACATTCTACTGTAGTCTTGAAAGTTACACATTCCACTGTAGTCTTGAAAGTTACACATTCCATTGTAGTCTTGAAAGTTACACATTCCATTGTAGTCTTGAAAGTTACACATTCCATTGTAGTCTTGGAAGTTACACATTCCACTGTAGTCCTGGAAGTTACACATTCCACTGTAGTCTTGGAACTTACACATTCCACTGTAGTCCTGGAAGTTACACATTCCACTGTAGTCCTGGAAGTTACACATTCCATTGTAGTCCTGGAAGTTACACATTCCATTGTAGTCCTGGAAGTTACACATTCCATTGTAGTCCTGGAAGTTACACATTCCATTGTAGTCCTTGGAAGTTACACATTCCATTGTAGTCCTGGAAGTTACACATCCATTGTAGTCTTGGAAGTTACACATTCCATTGTAGTCCTGGAAGTTACACATTCCATGTAGTCCTGGAAGTTACACATTCCATTGTAGTCCTGGAAGTTACACATTCCATTGTAGTCCTGGAAGTTACACATTCCATTGTAGTCCTGGAAGTTACACATTCCATTGTAGTCCTGGAAGTTACACATTCATTGTAGTCCTGAATTACACATCCATTGTAGTCCTGGAGTTACCTTTCCATTGTATCTGAAGTTACACATTCACTGTAGTCCTAGGAAGTTACACACCACTGTAGTCCGAAGTTACACATTCCACTGTAGTCCTGGATGTACACATTCCATGTATCCTGGAGTTACACATCCACTGTAGTGAAGTCACATATCAGTATCTGAATCATCATTGTAGTCCTGAAGTTACAATCCATGTATCCCGAAGTCACGAGGTTCTAGGTTTTCTCAGCGAGTTGAGTATTTTCTCTTTTTATTGAATATGCAGCAAGAAGTACTGTTACCACTGATCTCAAGTCCAGTCCTATCTATAATGGCATGTCCACAACATCTGGTTTACTGACTACACATTAACGTGACTACGAACGTAATGACACGATTGTAACAACCATACACGGCGGATTGAACCCGCGGTCAGGAGTCTCAAAATCCAGACCGTGCGTAGCCACTGGACACTAGCCAAATAATATCGTCCACAGGTATTCTACACCTAGAGGTAGCGATGTCTGGAGTTTGAACCTGACGCGGTTTTCAATCACGCCGTGTATGGTTTACAATTAAGTCATCAACGGCATTGTGCGAATGAAGGTTTTATCACAGAACAATGCGTCTACAGATTCAACGACCATTGTTTTATCGAGCTTGAGCAGACTTGTCCTCAGGATAACCATTTGTGGAAACGGTTTACTTTGTAAGTTCTTCAGACAAATGATATTGGAATTAAGCTTGTGTACCATTATATGCGTCTTGGAAAAATGGTCAGGGTATAGTTTTTTTTTTTATCCTGTTAAACATCTAAACCACTACATCTACCCAGCTGCCATGCCTTGACTGATTAGTTTTCAGTCTGTTGATATTCAAGGCGACTAATTCTGAGATCATTTGGATGACTAATTCTGAGATCATTTTAGCCTTTTTTAAGTGACGTAATATTTAATTTTATTCCATAAGATTGTACTATTTCCATTATTTTTTGTGTTCCCAACTGTCAAAGGCCCTTGTCTTTAGAAACTTGGCATGGCTTTTGTTTTGTTCTGCATGTTTGTTCTTACTCACCAATTTATTTTTAGGTGATTGACTCGCAGTTACACCTCTTAAGCTTCATCTTTGTATTGTTGGTTTCTGACCTTATTGCCACCAGTCTCAGATCACTTAAAGTGCTTCCTTCCATCAGTTTCAGATCCACTTAAAGTGCTTCCTTCCATCAGTTTCAGATCCACTTAAAGTGCTTCCTTCCATCAGTTTCAGATCCACTTAAAGTGCTTCCTTTCATCAGTTTCAGATCCACTTAAAGTGCTTCCTTCCATCAGTTTCAGATCCACTTAAAGTGCTTCCTTTCATCAGTTTCAGATCCACTTAAAGTGCTTCCTTCCATCAGTCTCAGAGCAACTTAAAGTGCTTCCTTCCAACACCTCTGCATCCACTTGCCTCTTGTGGTGATAATTGTTTTGAAAACCGACAAGTTGAAGCATTAGACACTTGTGCAACAATTGGGAATCATTATTGAGGAAACGTTTTCTCAGTAAAGCTTCCCAAATGATGTGCAAGTGTCTCAAACTTCCCAATTGCATTAAGAATGACAAATCCTCATCCAACATCCCTGTCATTCCCCAACATTTCATCCTTCCATCAATATCCCCATGTTCTTGGTCCTCATACTTCCAACATTCTGTTCTCATTCACCATATACAAGGGCAGTGCCAGAATTTTTGGAGGTGGGGGGAGAGTTAGATGTAGTTATCTGGATGGAAGGCAGGCTAGGAGACTTATTTTAAAGCAGTCTTATTATTATTACTATACTTTGAATTGGGGACTTTAGGGCCTAAGGTGATTTTCGAGGGTTGAAGCCCCCTCAGGCTCCCCCTTGGAGCCCCCACTGACCTTATAAGTTTTTTAATTATCTTCTGTCTATGCATCGTATGTAATTATTGTTTTTTCAGGGACACACATCATGTATACTGTATAACAAGATTGCACTTCATGCTAAATCATTGTTCATATACTACAAACACTAATATGGTTTATCTACTGTATGCTTCCTCACCTGTTACATGTATATGTATATATGTGTGTGTGTGTGTATGGCATTTTATTCTTATTGATTTAATAAGTCAGAGCCTGTATGTTTTTGTGTAATGAATATTTTAAAATTTTTGTTTAAACTCTTATAACAAATTTGGAAAATATTTTTCATTTTGTAGTTAAGTACATTCTCTAATTTCAGTATGCTGTTACTAAAAAAATTCTATCTTTGACAGAATTGGGCATGGACTACGTGAACATCCCACACGTTGTGGCTATGGTTGGCTTGCCTGCCCGGGGTAAGACCTACATAGCCATGAAGCTGGCCAGGTATCTCAACTGGGTCGGTCTACCCACCAAAGGTTGGTTACGTTCCTTACCGTAAAACTTTGACTTAGTGGACTGTTAATGTGGAGCAGGTAGCTGGTAATGGTGTATGGTGGATAGAGGTGAGAGTTTTTAATCATGATAGCAACAATAAAGGACAATTCTGTAACCAATAAACTTTGGTCAGAATCAGTTGACCTAACAGATTTTGTCCCTTATTTTTGAGGTCTGTTAAATCGATATCTGTTAAATTGAGCATTTACTTCTTAAGAGTGTGTGAGGGGTTTGTTAGTTAAACATTAGCCAGGTCTTTCTCTGACCTTATAAATATATAGGTTAGGGTGGGCACAGTATTGTATGGTGTATCTAATTTTGATAAAAATTTGCCTTGTGTAATGTATACAGTAATACTTTTTAATTATTATTATTATTATAATACTTTTTAAGTCATTTAATTTAAATGAAAGACCATCACTTTTTATGTAAGCATTTGTAATATATTTGACAGTGTTCAATGTTGGGGACTACCGGCGCCAAGCTATGGGCAGTTACCAGGGGCATGACTTCTTCCATCCAAGGAACAGAGAGGGCACCAACATCAGAAACAAGTGTGCCCTTGATGCTCTCCAGGTAAGTCAACTTTCATGCCATTCCTTGACACCATAATCATACTATTGGACTGTGTTGGGTTATACGAGGGTAACTCTAACAATTTACTGCCAATGTACATGTGAAGCAGCCACAAAAGGGGAATTAAAGAGGCTAAAGCCTTCCCAAGAGGAAAATACTTTATTTTTTCAATTAATGGTAAATTTTCACTTTATTATGTTGAATAATTACCACAAAAACATTATAGCTTAGTGTGACTTTGTCAATGGTCCAAGTCAGACTGAGACATCATCGTCAGCTCCTCTCTCCTGTCACGGTATTGTACCTTTTTGTTCTTTATAGCTTGTTAAGTTTCACATTCGTTATGTACTGAAATTCTTACATTTTTGGAGACAATTTCTTTAATTTTTTTAGCATCTTGTCATTTAAAGCCTCCAAATTGAAATCCTGCTTAAGCCCCCCTTCCCCACAGACCAAAATCCCTTGCCCACAAGAACCAAATCAATTTATTGTGTACTGTTGGTTGTAAAATCCTTTGTAGGTTCCATAAATGAAGCTTATTATATCTTAAGGATAGAGCAAGTAGGCTGTTTTGTGTGTTAAATAGCTTGTGGAATTGTAATGTATGTAAATGTTTCATATTAAACATTACCAACTTGTTATGATGTTAGCCTTTATCTAATTCATTGTTATTATAATTAAATCTAAATGTACAGAGTCAAAATTATAACACTGCTTAGCATATTAACTCTTTTGAATATAGGCTGATTGTGTACAAAAATGAACAAAATTCAATAATGTGTAGGCCTACTGTACTAGCAAACAAAAATCTCAGTTGTGAATCTTTTGGCTTGCAACATTAAGAACCTGAGTTTGATTCCTGGACAGGGTGAGACATATGAGCAAGTTTCTTTATAACTGCTGCATATGCTCATCTAGCTATAGATAGGTACTTAGGTGTTAGTCAGCTTTTGTGGCCTGCAAACTAGAGGACTGTGTTGTAAATGTGCCATACTACTGGCTTTTATGTTTTGTGTTTTCCATGGTTAATAACAGTTTATCACCTAAGAATATCTTAGGTTATAAACCTAACCTAATCATATAGTATAACCAAAGACCATCTTCAAGGAAACTGGTTAACTGGACTCGAGTCCTGGAGGTGGAGGTACAGTGCCTGCACTCGTAAGGAGAGGCAAGAATGTTTCAGTTTGGAGGGCTAACTGAACTGTGATGTCAGCATGCTTCTGGCAGAATGGTGATTGAATGTGTGACAGTGAATGTATTTTTATTTTTTTTGGTAACCCACCTTTGAGGGAGACAGCCAGTGTGTTAAAAAAAATACACATCTTCTTCAGGATGTGTGTGAGTTCCTGCAGTCAGGAGGGATGGTGGCTGTGTATGATGCTACTAACACCAACCAGGAACGCCGTGAGCTTATCCATCATGTTATATGTCAGAGGATGGGCTACAAACTCTTCTTCATCGAGTCTATTTGTAATGATCCCAAAATCATTGAAACAAACATTATGGTATGTCCTTTAGATAGCAAAATCTACACTAGTTTGTATAAGTATAATTTTTGTTTCTGCAGTATTTACCCACATGAAAGTGTTAAGTAGTATAATAAAATTCTTTATATAAGATTTTCCAGTACATATATGTAATAGCAGTTTTTGGCAAATGAAAGGTTTCCCAAGATATATGTATAATGCTTTTGAGCAGTATAACTTGAAATGATGTTATAACTTTCTTTGTGAATGGCTAGTGAAAATATATGTCATTGATGACCATTAAAGAAAATCCATATTGTCATGCCTTTGGCAAGTGAAGTAGTCTTGCAGTTTTTTCTTATGGAAGCCATAATTAGAGGAAATAATGAAAAAGGGGAAAAAATGGTGATCAGCAGAGCAGTAAGAGTGTGGTAATGAAAAGGATCATTGGAGAGAGTGAGCAACGGTCAAACAGATCTATGGGATTTTGTTTGAGAGTATGATGTTCAAGAAATATTTTTTGAAAATCTATTTGGAGTAGAATTTCTACTATTTCTGCATACAAATAGTGTAAATTATTTGTGCTAAATTCTGTTTTCTTGAAATTTTAAAAAATGGGGTTAACATATGGTTATGTATATTAGTAAAGAAAATTAGGTTTGTTTTTAATTTCCCAGTGTCAGAATATCTAGAAATATGATTCATACTACAGGAGTGTAAGGTGACCAACCCAGATTACACTAACATGGAAAAGGAGGATGCTGTGAAGGATTTTCTCAAGCGTATTGAGCACTACCGCTCGATGTATGAGATGCTGGATGAAGAGAAAGAGAGTCAGTACAGTTTCATGAAGATTTTTGATGCAGGTAATGTGTGGTATGGTTTTCAGACTGATGTATTGGGTCCAGCAAGGGGTTAGTAATGCCTTGTCCTTCTAGGGTCACCCTGCCTCAGTGAGAGACAGCTAATGTGTTGAAAAAATGAATCTCTCGAATACCATAGCTTAAATTGTAAGCAAGATTTTTGGCTGTACCCATTTTTTTTTTTTGACTCACACGAGCTGATTACTTCACATAAAATATAACCACAGTATTATTGTCATTTTAAATTTTAGTATTTATTAAAATAAAGATGCTAAATCAGTCTTTCCATTACTCCTGAATTTGTGGTTGAATAAAATATCATAGAGAGACTGTTTTGACAGGTCGCCGAGTTGTGGTGCACAAGCAAGAAGGTCACATAGAGAGTCGCATTGCATACTACCTCATGAACATACACATCACACCACGCTGTATATATCTGACTCGGGTATGCAAAAAAGTATTCAGTCTTGTGTATTGATTAATTTTTTTTTTTTTTTTTTCAACAAGTCGGTCGTCGTCCCACTCTATACTGTTGTATGTCTCATAAGAAAATTATTCCATTCTAAAGTATTTAATTTCATATTAAATACAAGGGTATTTCTCATTCATACATTTAAATCTTATATACCTAAATTGTAATTTATTAGCTTGCATAATATTTGTAAATACATTAATGAAATGAATATACATGTATTTTAAATTTTCCCCTCAGCATGGTGAATCAGTTTACAACCAGTTGGGGCGTATTGGTGGTGACACAGATCTGTCTCACCGCGGCAGACAGTATGCAAATGCTCTGGCTAAGTTCATCTCCAGCCAGAACATCCCCTGTCTCCGTGTGTGGACATCCTGCATGAAGAGAACCATCCAGACAGCATCTGGCATCAGTGCACCTCAGGAAAGATGGAAGGCTCTTAATGAAATTGATGCTGTGAGTTTCCTAATACTGTACTGTACTCAGTGATTAAGATCGGAATTATATTGCATTACTTACTGTTTTACTTTTGAATCAATAGTATGATGTGGGGCCAATTTTAGTTTATTGTAATCATCACCTGCTCAGTATAGTGAAAAATTAGTTAGGATGTGTGATGTAGAACTGTAGATGTAAGTTTGAAGTTGCTTACAATAACTACACAAATTATGTCTTGTAATCATATATATTTTTATGCAAGAATAAGAAACTTATCAAAATATTGCTGGTTTTTGAATGGGTCTTCAACATGTGGCATACAGTGTGATTGTAAAAGGCTTTTGTTTGTCCTGGGGTTGTGTATGACTATCAGGAGAGACAGCTGGAGAGTGAGGGATACTGAACATTTTCTTAATCTACCCTGACTTGGTGGGAAACTCATTGGCTGTTTCCCATGAAGGCAAAGTGACCCAAACACGAAAATGCTGTAGATTCACTATCATTCACTCTGTCTACCTTAACAGACGTTGCAGTCCAGTGTTAGTCTGGAAACCCACGAAACTTCAACATCTCCAACTTGCTTTTAAAGTGTAGGCTCTGTACATCCTGACCTTCAAAAGTCGCTTTTTTTCTAGCAAGGACACCAGTGTCCTGCTTATGTTATTTTAATTGTGATTGGTTCTAGCACCAATCAAAGAACATAGTCAGGTGTTGATTCTTGTTATTAGACTGCTGCCAGGGTTTGCTCAAGGAAAGCCATTTCATGTTAATTACAGTTGTGCAAGTCATGAGGCTGTATGCCTGTGGTAATGACAAAGAAATGGAGATGATCCTCCAGCTTCATGCAGTGTTGGCCAAATCCACCATGGAGAGGCTTTCCTCAGTACTTGTGGGGGGTACTATTATAAGGGCCAAGAGCTCTCCAATATCACCTATGCAACAGCTTCAGAATGTGCTCTTTTCAGTAACTGATAGGTATTACTCACTATTGTGGGATCAGGTAGGGTCTTCCCATATGTTGAAAAACCTTTTTCCATTTCTCCTTGATTGTTATATTTTTATAGCTACAGTACTGTATTTTTTAAGTAGTCAGTATTACCTTTTCATATAAACCTTATGTATGTCAGTGTTTATATATGATGGTAAAGGCAGGTAGAAAAGTGAAGTTTATATAAACATTTATTACAGTTACAGTACCAAAGAATAAGTGCTTGATTCCAGTCCTGTTGAACTGGTGGACATTCCTGTTACTTGAATAATCCATCATACATTGTGAATGTTAGACTGCCAAAACTTATTTATTCCACATGGATATTTATTTTAATATTCTTTCTTTAGGGCATTTGTGAAGGTCTGACGTATGAGGAGATACAAGAGCAGTACCCAGATGAGTTTGCAGCTCGTGATCAAAACAAATGCTCGTACAGGTAATTGAAGGAATTTGTGCTCTCCTTGCTCACGGCTATTATAGTTATCTTGGTACTAATAGAGATACTTTTAGTTTTTCATAATGTTTATTACCATATGTAAAGTTTTGGCCCTTGTAAAACAAAATGTTCTTGGTGTTTGTTGAGCTATGTAAAATGAATGAAAATATAAAGGAACTAATACTTGATCAGAGAATGAGCTTTTCACTGGCAAATTCTGATGCATTACAGATACCCACGGGGTGAATCTTATGAAGATGTGTTAGTTCGTTTGGAGAGCGTTATAATGGAGCTAGAACGACAGGAGAATGTCCTAGTGGTTGGCCATCAAGCTGTTCTCAGATGTGTCTTGGCATACTTCCTTGACAAGAGTGCTGGTAGGCAAATATTACTATACTCACATCAGAGCTGCTTTAACTGAGCTCACTGCTAATTTATAATAATTTAAAAAATTTCAATCCATTCTATATTGTTGATAATTTATTGTAATTTTTTTTATTCCCAAGTATATTAAATTTGAACCCCTAACTTTACCCTTGAGGAAATTTGTGAATGCTTACACCTTTTATCGGTACAGTCCACGTACAAGAGGTTTCTGGTCTCGCCTACTTTGAGGATCATAATTTAACTAATATATTGTGACATTTAATACAGATGCAAGTTTATTAATTAATACAGATGCATTAGTTTATTAAGAAATTACTGAGATGATGATGTGTAGTGGGGAAGCTGTTGCTTTAAGCAAATTTTATGGAATTTCTTGGTAATTTTTTTTCTTGAGATTATACCATTTTCTGCTTACAGCTGAACTTCCATATCTGAAGGTTCCTCTGCACACAATAATTAGGCTCATACCACAGGCATATGGATGCAAAGTTGAGTTTTTCAAGATTCCTATTGATTGTGTGGATACACATCGTGCTAAACCAGTAGTGAGTATAATTTTTGGTTGTCTGACTATTGAATCTTTTAAATGCTTTTTTTAACTGTTGTTATTATCCATTGTAATTTTACACATCTAAAATTTTAGTTTTTAATTTACACAAGAATCCTTGTGGCCTAAAAGCTTAATTTAAACTTGACAAGACTGGTTGATAAAGAAATGACTTAATATATAGAAGACTATGGTTATAACGCTGGAACGATTGTGACATGATTGATATTAATGCTTCTTGCAATGACTTGCTACAAATAATGGAAATGCATTCTTACCGCTTGATCCTAGAATTGTGTGACCAAGGGACATTGTGATGACAGGGGTGCTGGAATTATAGGCCTCTTGGTGATGTTTTAAAGACTTGTCTTGAGCTTGCAGCTTTATTGTTCTCGGTGATGGATTGCCGACTCTTAATTTTAACCCCCAGTGTATTTTAAGACTGATTGATAACTTTAATATGATTGTCCATAAGACTAATGATAACTTAATTCTCTGATCACCATCATTCATTTTGGAAGACATTGTTCTGATTGGATGTTTGCTATTAAGTTTGTCTTGCATTTAAAATTCTTGCATTGCATGAGATAGTAGCTTGTAAGACTAGCATCATGGATAGGGACTACATCTATTTGTATATAGTATATATAGTATCCTAATTTTATGTTGATACACTGTATGTCATTATTTAGTAGCTCCTAAGCTTAAAAGTGTGGTCAAGTAATTAAAATAGTATTTTGTTTCAAAACATGCAATAGAAGAAAATTAAAAGGAAATAAACACAAGTCTCGCATAAGGCATATCAAAGCTTTCTTGAAATTTAAGTACCGTAAATGCAGTCGGCTCATTTTGGTCTTGAATATTTCATAACCGTCTAGAGACGTGAATGCAGGCTAGCCAATGGTGGTCAGGGTGGCCGCTGCTGCTGCACTCTGTGAATTTAGTGTGTTTTCATATTTTTTTTGTGGGTATTTATGAGTTGTGATCATTGAGGAAGTTGTGGCTGTTGAAAATATTCATTGTGGTATTTTTTCATAGAAATTTAGTAAAAGTTAATACATTTAATAATGATCACCATTTTCTGAAATTTTAATTTCCAGTTTGTGGAAGTTTGTACAATACTTTGGAAATTATTCATGCATTGTTATTAGATTGTTATTTTGATATACAAGGATTTTAAAAATTTATTAAACAATATGGTAAAAAAATATAAAACATGCCATTCTCCATATATAATGGCAGGAGAATTAGGTGTGATTGCCCCCATCAAATGGCTCCCACATTTTTATAAGTTCAGGCCTTTATACTTCTTATGTAGGTTTGTGAATGATTATATTTTCCAAATATCAGTTGCTAACATTAAAACTCTGTGCTAGAATACATGATGGCATTGAAAAGTCAAACCAGATGTGTTGGCCAACATGTATAATAAGTTGGAATTTCAGTTGGGTGTGTTACAGGCCATTACAAGTGGACACATTAGCGTTGCATATATTAGTCAAGAGTGAAACTGTTTAAAATCAGTTAGTTAAGCTATTGTATGCAGAAAATTGCATTTTTCATATCATTTTGCAAAAAAAAAAAAAAAAAACTGCAAAAAAGGGCTTTGTGGACACAGTATTTGGAGTTAATTGAGTGTAGTGATAGGTAAAGCACTTAGAAAGTCAAGACATTTTATACATCAAGGTGTAGGAGGTTAGGTGTCTTAACATATGTATAGTATAGCATGAAAGATGAAACATTTTAATGTTTAAAGATTTTATTTTAGGATTGAATTGCAAAAGCAGTAGTCTACAAAATATTGATGTTACATACACACACACACACACACACACACACATATATGAAGGATGAGGTTAATCATAGAATTGATGAGGGAAAAAAGGTGAGTGGTGCGTTGAGGTATATGTGGAGACAAAAAACGTTATCTATGGAGGCAAAGAAGGGAATGTATGAAAGTATAGTAGTACCAACACTCTTATATGGGTGTGAAGCTTGGGTTGTGAATGCTGCAGCGAGGAGACGGTTGGAGGCAGTGGAGATGTCTTGTCTAAGGGCAATGTGTGGTGTAAATATTATGCAGAAAATTCGGAGTGTGGAAATTAGGAGAAGGTGTGGAGTTAATAAAAGTATTAGTCAGAGGGCAGAAGAGGGGTTGTTGAGGTGGTTTGGTCATTTAGAGAGAATGGATCAAAATAGAATGACACGGAGAGCGTTTAAATCTGTAGGGGAAGGAAGGTGCGGTAGGGGTCATCCTCAAAAAGGTTGGAAGGAAGGGGTAAGGGAGGTTTTGTGGGCGAGGGGCTTGGACTTCCAGCAGGCGTACGTGAGCGTGTTCGATAGGAGTGAATAGAGACGAATGGTATTTGGGACCCGACAATCTGTTGGAGTGTGAGCAGGGTAATATTTAGTGAAGTGATTCAGGGAAACCGGTTATTTTCATATAGTCGGACTTGAGTCCTGGAAATGGGAAGTACAATGCCTGCACTTTAAAGGAGGGGTTTGGGATATTGGCAGTTTGGAGGGATATGTTGTATATTATTATTATTATTATTATTATCACACTGGCCGATTCCCACCAAGGCAGGGTGGCCCGAAAAAGAAAAACTTTCACCATCATTCACTCCATCACTGTCTTGCCAGAAGGGTGCTTTACACTACAGTTTTTAAACTGCAACATTAACACCCTTCCTTCAGAGTGCAGGCACTGTACTTCCCATCTCCAGGACTCAAGTCCGGCCTGCAGGTTTCCCTGAACCCCTTCATAAATGTTACTTTGCTCACACTCCAACAGCACGTCAAGTATTAAAAACCATTCGTCTCCATTCACTCCTATCAAACACGCTCACGCACGCCTGCTGGAAGTCCAAGCCCCTCGCACACAAAACCTCCTTTACCCCCTCCCTCCAACCTTTCCTAGGCCGACCCCTACCCCGCCTTCCTTCCACTACAGACTGATACACTCTTGAAGTCATTCTGTTTGCTCCATTCTCTCTACATGTCCGAACCACCTCAACAACCCTTCCTCAGCCCTCTGGACAACAGTTTTGGTAATCCCGCACCTCCTCCTAACTTCCAAACTACGAATTCTCTGCATTATATTCACACCACACATTGCCCTCAGACATGACATCTCCACTGCCTCCAACCTTCTCCTCGCTGCAACATTCATCACCCATGCGTCACACCCATATAAGAGTGTTGGTAAAACTATACTCTCATACATTCCCCTCTTTGCCTCCAAGGACAAAGTTCTTTGTCTCCACAGACTCCTAAGTGCACCACCCACCCTTTTCCCCTCATCAATTCTATGATTCACCTCATCCTTCATAGACCCATCCGCTGACATGTCCACTCCCAAATATCTGAATACATTCACCTCCTCCATACTCTCTCCCTCCAATCTGATATCCAATCTTTCATCACCTAATATTTTTGTTATCCTCATAACCTTACTCTTTCCTGTATTCACTTTTAATTTTCTTCTTTTGCACACCCTACCAAATTCATCCACCAATCTCTGCAACTTCTCTTCAGAATCTCCCAAGAGCACAGTGTCATTAACAATGAGCAACTGTGACAACTCCCACTTTATGTGTGATTCTTTATCTTTTAACTCCACGCCTCTTGTCAAGACCCTCGCATTTACTTCTCTTACAACCCCATCTATAAATATATTAAACAACCACGGTGACATCACACATCCTTGTCTAAGGCCTACTTTTACTGGGAAATAATTTCCCTCTTTCCTATGTACTCTAACTTGAGCCTCACTATCCTCGTATAAACTCTTCACTGCTTTCAGTAACCTACCTCCTACACCATACACCTGCAACATCTGCCACATTGCCCCCTATCCACCCTGTCATATGCCTTTTCCAAATCCATAAATGCCACAAAGACCTCTTTAGCCTTATCTAAATACTGTTCACTTATATGTTTCACTGTGAACACCTAGTCCACACACCCCCTACCTTTCCTAAAGCCTCCTTGTTCATCTGCTATCCTATTCTCCGTCTTACTTTTAATTCTTTCAATAATAACTCTACCATACACTTTACCAGGTATACTCAACAGACTTATCCCCCTATAATTTTTGCACTCTCTTTTATCCCCTTTGCCTTTATACAAAGGAACTATGCATACTCTCTGCCAATCCCTAGGTACCTTACCCTCTTCCATACATTTATTAAATAATTGCACCAACCACTCCAAAACTATATCCCCACCTGCTTTTAACATTTCTATCTTTATCCCATCAATCCCGGCTGCCTTACCCCCTTTCATTTTACCTACTGCCTCACAAACTTCCCCCACACTCACAATTGGCTCTTCCTCACTCCTACAAGATGTTATTCCTCCTTGCCCTATACACGAAATCACAGCTTCCCTATCTTCATCAACATTTAACAATTCCTCAAAATATTCCCTCCATCTTCCCAATACCTCTAACTCTCCATTTAATAACTCTCCTCTCCTATTTTTAACTGACAAATCCATTTGTTCTCTAGGCTTCCTTAACTTGTTAATCTCACTCCAAAACTTTTTCTTATTTTCAACAAAATTTGTTGATAACATCTCACCCACTCTCTCATTTGCTCTCTTTTTACATTGCTTCACCACTCTCTTAACCTCTCTCTTTTTCTCCATATACTCTTCCTCCTTGCATCACTTCTACTTTGTAAAAACTTCTCATATGCTAACTTTTTCTCCCTTACCACTCTCTTTACATCATCATTCCACCAATCGCTCCTCTTCCCTCCCGCACCCACTTTCCTGTAACCACAAACTTCTGCTGAACACACTAACACTACATTTTTAAACCTACCCCATACCTCTTCGACCCCATTGCCTATGCTCTCATTAGCCCCTCTATCCTCCAATAGCTGTTTATATCTTTCCCTAACTGCCTCCTCTTTTAGTTTATAAACCTTCACCTCTCTCTTCCCTGATGCTTCTATTCTCCTTGTATCCCATCTACCTTTTACTCTCAGTGTA